AATTGAAATGTATTGGTTTGAATTTCATGCTGGGGAACACGAAAAAGTCGGCAAATCGTGGTCCAGGACACGAAACAATAGATTAAATTTCATGACTATTTCATAAATTGCCGTGAGACTGGGTTGGTCAAACACATTGACAAGCGTCCAGTCTGTGAACAACCCTTCCTCTCTGTGCACACCCTGAATCAAATCATGGGAGGATAGAGGATTGTTCTCAGCCTTTCCCAGAACAATGGAATCAATCCGGAGTTCACAAATGGTTAGTATCATGAACACCTCTGCAAGAATTTGTCCAAAACTCTTGCATTTAAGTTAACTCTGATAAATTAGCCTATCTGTTTTAACACAACATTAACCATAAAAACCACTGACAGGTTAAGTAAAGGACACTGATCATCTTATAACAGATAACACATACCCAGTCATGGTCTCTAGCAGGATAGTTTGCCCCACCACAATCCCAAAACTGCTCAGTAATCGATCACGGAACACGGCCAAGAGTTCAAGTTGTTAAGTCATGCTCCAAATCCCCCATATATCAATCTGAATGAGCATTTGTGGGATGCATGTTAGGAAACTTAGTTATATGGAGGCCTCACACCACCATCCACAGAACCAAACTTTTCCACTGCCCAAGTCCTAGTTCATGACACCCCAGGACGTTTTTCAGATGGTTTTGATGTTATGGCTGATTGGTGTACAAGTCCTGTTTGTTTATGAAAACTACTAAATGAAAATATGTTCATGCAAAACATACGAGGTGTGTCAGAAAAGTTCCACGACTGGTGTCACAAAAGGTATTTCAAACCCAAAGTACAAACTACGAGTTTTCCCCTTCAGGAGATCAACCAACACGTCTACAAAGAGATCCTGCGGCCTTGGCTTCGTTCAGTGCGCGAGAAGAGATGATAGTTGAAGCAGGACCAGTGGAGGCTGCTTCACCATGACAACCTGCTCACAGCGCCCTGAGCATCCCACAGTTCCTGGCTGAGAAGAACATCGCCGTACTGGAGCAACCTCCCTACTCACCCCACCTGGCTCCATGGGACTTTTTCCTCTTCCCCAAGCTCAAGGGGGTCATCAAGGGGACCCAGTTTGAAGACGTGGACGACGTCAAGATGGCTGTGATGACGGAGCTACGGAGGATGCCGGAAGAATCCTTCCAGGAATGCATGGCGGTGTGGCAGAGAAGGCTGGGAACGTGTAGTCTCTTTGAAGCGGAAAACTTGTAGTTTGTAGTTTGGATTTGAAATATAGCTTTTGTGACACCAGTCCTGGAACTTTTCTGACACATCCTGTAACATCTATCCTTCATGCTAATGTAGATGGCTGTCAGGTTGGGGAAAAGAAAAAATGACAACACATAACACCCTGAGTTGTGCAGTCATGGCCAAAGTATTCCTGGAATTCAAGCTGTTCCACTTCACTCATAACCTGCATTTTTCCATTTCCCTATTCCAATAATGCCAAACAGACTAACAAAAACAAAACAGGTCTCTTGCATTCATTGGTTATCGTCTGCATCTGGCTGCTGTGATCAAAGAGCTATTGTGTTGGGGGGACCCTCCCTCTGTAAGCTGCTTTTGTAAGGAACCTCCTCAATCAGGGTTAAGTTGATTAGAAACAAAAGCAGGTGGGTTGATGTTATGTTGGATCAGCTCTGGAATTTTGAGCTAAACTTTTCCAAAGCCGCTGCAGCGTGTGTGTCATCCAGTGCCTGGCAGGAAAAGGGATTATAACCTCACAACATACACATAATGCATGCTAACCTCAGTCAGAAACCTTCAGACGGGGGTTACAGCGCAGGTCTGCTACAGCTTCAGAGGGGAGGAACAAGTTGAAGCAATAAGGAGGTCCGCTAATCATCCATTAGACCCAGTTTGCCGGCAGTAAATATGCCCCTGAAGTCTTCTGTCTGTACATTTGGAGGCAGTTTGTAGAAACACAGCGAGCACTGCCTCCATCTGTGACAGCTTGTCTTCAGCTTGATATGGAAAGACAGGTTGTTTAGGACCGTGGGGAATGAGGGATGGAGAAAGAGCAGGGTGGAAGAGAAAAAAGGAGGTGGAGGAGGAGGAGGAAGGCTGCAGCTGTTGTTGTATGTAGTTTAGAGTTGGTCTGCTGTGGTTTGAAAGAAATCACAGCAGAGCCGGAAAGCCAGATAGATAGATAGACACTCACTCACCTCTTCCATCCCTCACCTATTTCATGTGCTAAAGAGCCCCCAATCCTGGGGATTTAGCATAAAAGCCAGAAACAAAGCACCCTTTCTGTGCCACCTTCCTTCTTCTTCCTCCACCTTCTGTGTAGCAAATGCCATCGCTGTGAGAATCCTCCCCCGTTTGCGTCTGTATCGACCCTTCCTCTTCCTCCAAGGAACAGACAGCCTGCTCCTGCTCGGGCCCCTTTTCCTTCTGTTCACAAGGCGGGAGTTTTTATTATGATTGTTTTTAAAGATTTTTTCTCTCTCTCTCTTTTTCTTGCTGCCCAGGGTTGCAGATATTGCAAAAAGCAGAAAGAAGAAAAGAGAGAGAGAGAGAGAGAGAGAAAAAAAAAACACAGGGTGTGGAAAAAAAAGAAGAAAAAGAGCAAGAAAGAGAAGTTATTTTGCTGAGGGACATTTGCAGAGGCAGCTTTTAACACCATCCCTCCCCTTTTTCCCTCCATCTCTCCTTAAACACACTTCACCCCCCTGTTTTTCCTGCTCTTTAAATATTGAGAATCATTGCAAATTCCTCTGCCCCTCTTCCTTTTGATGCCACTGGCCTCCCAACAGCTCAGCAGAAGAAATGCAGTCGGATGGGCTGAAAGGCTCAGTATAGCAACAGCAACAATTCCCTCCATGCGGGACCTCCGTGCTCCCCCCTCCAGGCCTCCGTAAACTGGTCTGAGCTTCGCCTGGTTCCCAGGCCACACCTCTTCCCCCAGCTCCCTGGCTTCTCTGTGTTGAAGGCCAAGCGCTCCCTCTGGGCTGGCTTTGGCTGGGGGGCGACTCTCCCCCCACGCAGCTGAAGCAGACTGAGAGTGACCCGACTGACTCCTGTCACTTTATTTCTTTGCTTTTCAACTGCTCTCCTGCTCACACACATCACAGCCTACTGTTGTCCTCATTCCCCCCTGATTTTTTTTTTCTTTTATTGCTCAGATGGCTGCAATGAAGATGCTATTTAGGATTTTTTTTTCTAACTAGTAGGGTGCAAATGCCTGTGTTGTGGGCTAGCCCAAGAATAAAACACAACCCGAGTTTAGATACGAACAAGATCTTTTCTTAAAGGGCTGCATTCCTTGAAGGCTGCATTCCTTAGTGTGAGCAGTTATTGTTGTTGTTTCTCTAAAGGGAAAAACAGTAAATAGCTGCTAAATAAAGCCGAAGCTGTAAAAGTTACGATGTGCCCAGGCTAACCAGCGGTCAAATCATGGCTGGAGAAATTGCTTTCATGTAAAATGACTGAGTCCCGGGCAGAAAGCAAGTGCAGCAGACTGAGATCATAGACGTGTTACTGCTTAACAGCCCACTTTATGGGACTGGCTCTCTTTGTGTTTTAATGAGGAGGCCATGGATGGGTGGAAAGGCGAGGAGAAAGACGGGAGGGGTGAGTTTGTAGGGGAAGATGAGAGATTAGGAAAAAAAAGACCGAGAGAGAATAAAGGATGGCGTGTTTGGAGGAAATGGTCGTGAGGTTTAATGTCCCCTTCCCTCTTCAGGTCTAATTAGGAGTGAAAGAAGAGGCTGTCAGGTCTTCCTTTAAGTGATGCTGTTAATTTTTCACAGCACATGTACATTTGATGCTTCTCTTCTCTTCTCTTCTCTTCTCTTCTCTTCTCTTCTCTTCTCTTCTCTTCTCTTCTCTTCTCTTCTCTTCTCTTCTGGATCCAAATCTATTGTGGGGTATCACTTTGAGTTTGTACTTCTAACTTAAATGACCGGTTTGCTTTTCTTAGTTTCATTTTGTAGCCTCCAGAAATAATAATAAAATAAAAAAAATCTACACTTTCTCTCCAGGATATTTTAGTTGAGCTATTTTGCGACAAACTTGGATGTCTGTGTGTGTGCACCTCATTCCTCTGAAAAGTGCTTTCAACCACCAGTGCAGTGGTATGAGATTGGCAGTTTGCTGTGTGCTGATAAAGTCACCATCTGTGTGTGTGTGTGTGTGTGTGTGTGTGTGTGTGTGTGTGTGTTTAAGTGTGCCTGTTGGTGAAAGGGAAGAAGAAGGCAGGAGCGGAGGCTGGACACCTCAGGAATGTTTTCTCGATAACAAGATCCCCCAGCACGCTAAACTCTGTTGTGTGTTTTGCTGCACTTTCTTTGTGTGTGTGTGTGTGTGTGTGTGTGTGTGTGTGTGTCCCAGGGGAGGGGGGGCTCTGCAGCTTTATCGCTGTCTTTTGATTGGCCACAAGTGTATTATTCTTTCTGAGTCAAATTGCCATTGATCACACCTGTTCCTACCTGTAAAAGCAAACCGGCTCCTTTGCATTATTGAACATTTTTATCGTGTTGACTTTGACTTACACACACACACACACACACACACACACACACACACACACACACACAGCAACGCAAACAAGCACACACACTTCTACCTGTGAAGCATGACTCCAGATCACTGCTCATGCCTCGTGTGCATCAGTGCAGCATTGTGCAACAGCAGAGCTGTCACTAACTCATGTGTCCTCTACGCTGCTCTCCTCTCTGCAGGCTGCCTCATTAAACTTTCAGCTGAACAGTTAAAAACTCTTCTGCGTTCAGTCCCAACAGGCCGCAGCATAAGAAGAGTAAATTAAATTCAGTCTGTCCACTGGGTTTGAAGTCAGATGGAAGGGTGGCATTTGCCGACTCAGTCTGGAGCCGAGCGTTGCGGTGTCGGCCACAGGTGGTGCTTTGTGAGCACTGACATCGACCTCACAGTCTGCGATGACCCAGACTGTGCTAGAATATCAGTTATCTTTGTTTTTCTCATTCTGTCTGCCTCTGTGTCCCTCCTCATCCCTAGAAAACCTCGGAGATGGCATCGACTACAGTCAGCGGAAGAGAGAGAACATTGGTGAGCTGATCCAGGAGACGCTGCAGATGTTTGAGCGCTACGGAGGAGAAGATGCCTTCATAAACATCAAGTACATGGTACCTACCTATGAGTCCTGCATTAAAAACTGAAGGGGGCAGTCAGCCTGACATTGCACAGACTTTTCATCGGTCCTTCTTCATCTTCTTCCCACCTCTAAACTAAACCTTTATCTTTATCCATCTCACGGAAATTTGCCTCATTAAATATACCAGCATGTTTAAAACTGTATCCAAGTATTGTTTTGTTTTGGTTTAGTTTTTTTTAGCTTCTTTAGTGATTTTTTTTCAAAGCTGAGAAGAAATCCTTGGTGTGTACTGTCTTGTGTTTCAAATCTTCTTTCAAAATGTATGAAAACATTAAAAATTCTGTTGATTTTAAGTGAAACTTCACCCAAAATCTGTGTTTTGACTGTCAAACATTCCTACCCACCCCCCTCCAAGTGATGCTTAAATCTTGACTATAAACTTTGTTCTTCACTTCTTCACAGAGAAAACAAGCTACAGCCAGCTTAGATTTGTGTCAGTTGGAGTAGATTTCGCTGCACACTCACAAGCTTTTAGGGCGGAAAAAGGAAAACGTCCACCAGTCCAGCTGCATTTTTTATTACATATTTTTACAGCCAGCTTTCAAGCGTGAGTGAGTCTCACATAATGTAAGATATTTGGGAATATAAATATTTAAATACTTATTTTCCAGTCCCGAAACAGTGAGCATCTGAAAAGCCGTTGTCTTTCCGCTGGTGAGATTTTATTTGGAAAGTTGCTAATGCTGTTTGAGAGGTTGGTAAAAAAAATTATTTCAGTGATGTGGCAACTGCGGTGCTGTTTTGTATTATATTGTACTACTGTACCCATTCTGTCACAGACCCAGCTGGAGACACAGCCTGTCTGCACACGCCGAGAACGACGCACAGGAATGACGACTGACAGCATTCCTCCAGACAAATGCTCACTCATACACACACATGTTTGGTTAACATACTTTGAACTTTAATACCCTACAGTGATGTGTGTGAATGCTCGGTGTGAATGCGGCTTTATTGGTTTGTGTGTTTGTGCACAACAACGTTCTTTGTTTATCCGGTCCAGCCAGTAATTCAGTAGGAATCTTTAACCAAATTTGTGTCCTCACGCTGTGCTGATTGAAGGTTCTTTATTCTCTACTGCAATAAAGTCGCAGTTTAAACTTCATCAGTGGAAGTTATGCAGCCATGTATCACACACACACACACACACACACACACACACACACACGGACACATATACATATACAGCACTGTGACCCACAGGGGAAACATAGTGTAATTGATTTCTGAAACTCACAAGGACACTTGCACCCTCTCTTATTGTAAGTCATGTCTCCAGCTAAAGCAACTTTACAGGCCTGCGGAGAAATCTATTCTCAACCAGAAGACAGGTTCATAATGCTCATATTTCAACCTCAGCACATCTTGAAAAGAATGTTACTGAATAGGTGTTCCACACTGCTGAACCCAGTCAAGCTGCTCTCTGCCTACTGCCTGATCTGTGCAGTGAGAGACGAAAGGGAGTGCGGAGCGGTCCCCTTTCAAGACAAAACACATATTTCACCCTAATAACTGCAGCTGCATAGCAAAACAAATATAGCAGCGGTACAGGCACATGAACTACTTTTAAAACGGGGTACAATTTCACCTCTGTTCTCACTTAATGAGCTGATCGAACTCTGAATAGCCTGCAGTTCTGTCGAACTGTATCAGTGACGCCCCGCTGTCCCGCTTCACCTGTCCAATTTTACTGAGCCACAGGCTAGCAGTTGGCCAGCAAAGGAAGGAGAGCTTAGAGATAGAAAGAAGTAGAAAAAGGACAAAGTGAAACACGGTGAACATTTTCGTTAAGCTGTAAGAACAGGATCTGTCACTCACAGCTCTCCATTTGTTCATCGCTCACCTTTGTCTTACGGTGTCATAGAGGCCATAATATACAGAAATTGCCTTGAGTTCACTTTACTTTGGCACTTTAAAGGCTAGGCAGTCTGATTGCTTTGGCTCAATTAGGCCACATCACAGGTGCTAATGGGTACTAAATGCTAAATGGTGTGTGTTTCAACCTCTTCAGGAAGAACGGTGACAGTCTGGAAAGGAAAATAATATATGCACACACTGAAACCTGACACTGAGTCATCTCATTCCCTAGCTATTTGTTTGACTGATGTTAAAACACAATTCTCTGTCAAGTTTCTCAACCTTAATGAAAATAAAACCGAGAATTTGATACTTAATGCTTTTTCGCATCTGCCAGAGTCAGTCAACAAATCTAAATTTTCAACCTCATGTCGTAACTCTGGTAATATTTTTGATTCTTCTTCTTCTTTTTTTTTTTTTTAAATAATTAGACATGCAGATCACATCAGGAGTCAATTCCATCTCCTTTAACTAAGATATTTTAAAAAATATATAAGATATTTAAAAATATCTAAAAATATATAAAAAAAAATATATAAGATATTTAAAAAAAAAAAAAAAAAAAAAGAAAGGTGAGCTTTTACAGAATTGAATTTCCCTTCTGGGATGAATAAAGTATTTTTCATTTCATTTCATTTCATTTCATTTCATTTCATATTTATCCAAAGTCAAACCCTTCCCTTCCTTTAAAGGTTGAGAAGGTCACTCAGGGCTGTCATTACTTCCATTGTAAGCAGCCAAAATGGGTTTCCTTCATAGTGTGACAGGGTGAGGAGCCTCTGGTCAGAATGCCTCCTGAGCACCTTGCTTTGGAGGTTTTCCAGCCACACCCAACTGGTAGGAGACCCCCAGGTAGACCCAGAACTCACTGGTGTCATTGTATATCTTATCTGGCTCAGGCACACGTTACGTTTCTTCAGGAGAAGCTGGAAAACAGTGCTAGGGAAAGGGACATCTGAAGCGTCCTGCTTAGTCTGCTGCCGCTATCTCATCAAACCAAACTAGCACTGGTTTCTCAGCTGCAGCTCCAAAACTTTGTGATGGGTTGTAAACTTCGCGACCAGTTTTCAAGTGTGACTCAGCCGGATGTAGACTTTGGTTGCAAGCCTGTCATTTACAACTACACATTTCTAATTACTTTTTCCTTCACTTCTGCTATCTGCATGCTACTGTTTTCACGATCCCCTTTTCTACGGGAAACAACAACCCCCAAGCAGTAACCTTTATGCTGAAAACGCTTGGTGAATTTAGCAATTTCAATGGCATTGATTGCTTTCCTTTGTGCAAATAATCCACTAAAACAACTCCACCTGTTGCTACTTTGCAGGGGCACCATCACTGCCTCCTGGGCTTAGCAATGTCCAAGAAGATTGTGATTTGCGTAAGGAATAGAAACAAAGGCAGAGTGTTCTCCCCTCCTAAAGCAGAATAATAATGAGGTGCAAGAGAAACAGCACTGTGGAGATGAGTGTGGCTATGCAAAGCTACCAGTTTTCAAGTTAAAACATTTGTTGCATACTAGCTTTTCCAGTTTAGGCCCTATTTCAACTCCTATCTGGGTGTAAAGTACTAATGGCTGCCCTTCTAATTCATCATACAATGATTTGGATTACTCTTGTTGTAATAGTTTAATTGTTTTATGGTTTTTAATTGACTTGTTTTTCATTTGTTTTAATTGGTTCCATTTGCCTAATGCTGTACAGCACTTTAATAAACATTTTGTTGTGTTTGAATGTGCTTTATAAATAAATTCACTTCACACACTCACACAGTTCTTTTTCCATCACTTCAGAGGGCGTCACATTAACTCACATTAACGTCCTTGAGACTTACTCAAACTGTAAGCACCGTTCTAATCCTAACCCTGATCGTAAACCAAATCTTCACCTTCCAATTTAATGATTTACCTCATGGGGGCATTTTTGTCCTCAAAAATGAGGCGAGTCCCCACAGTATGACCGTTCAAACAGATTTATGTCCTCACAGTCTCAACAACACGAGCACACACACACACACACACACACACACACACAGACGATAATGGCAAACAATACCAAACAACTACACCAAGCTGTAATTGGTCATGCAAGTAATAGAGTGAACTGCGAAATGAACAGGAATGAAGGCAGCCATTGAGGTTATTTGGTCTATCAAAAGCATCACTGCATGACTGGTTCAGACCTACAGGCCAGAAAGACTGAGCGCCGTATTGCCTGAATTTCTCCCTTATCTCATCCTGTTCTCAGACATGAAAAAAAATCCAAACACCTCAACAACAAATTTAGCACAGAGCTGAAATGATCCTGATCATCATATTCTGACCCTCTTCCCATAGTCATAATGAGCAATTGATCATTTTGCAACTGCGGGTGCCCCAATATACGCAAGGTAATAAATTGCTACCCTCTCAGTGTATCTCCTCCAGTCATAGAGCACAGGTTATAACATTCTGCTCTACTTGTCTACAGTAGATACTATCTGTCGCAGATAAAACCACATTATTATTCTCAGTTGAGAGGATTTCCAAGCTTTTGTTTTTTTTGTTTTTGTTTTTGTTTTGTTTGTAATTCCTTGTCTATTGTGAAAGATGTGCCCGATAGCATGTGGAGTCGATGGTGTTTATCTAACATGTTACTCAACCACCTTGCAGCATCTTTGTGCTACTCTAGTTGTTTTTTTTAATAGGCACTGAGGGGATTAGGGAATTTGTGATTTTCCTAAAAATGCAAAGCAAAAACAATGAAATTCTGATTCTGTTTCTGACATGAATAGATATCTGTGTGTAAACCAGCATATTTATATTATAGCACTGGCTTATTGCTAGCTTTTGGAAAACCTTTCTTGTATCACTGAGTCAGTGCGCATGTTTTCCACAAGCTTCCACCAGGTTGCATTCTGGGTGTTGCGATCCCATCATTAACCACTAAGTGTGGAGAATTCCAGCTCACCTGCCTTCCTCCTTACAAGGGTGGAACAGTATTCTCTAATCCAGGACCTGGCCTTATCGTCACTCTCCATGCAATTGGACTCCAGGGGTCAACTCTTGACGATGTGGGGCCCATGGGCACTCACTCAGCTCCAGGGTTATTATTAGCCTAGCTAGCTCAGCCTCTCACAGCAGCTGCCACTGCCCTGCAGCCAGCAATAACTCCCACTGAGGAACATATTCAAGCCATTTCACTGATGGAAACACTAAGCATTGCACCGACTTGGGACGATTTATGCACAGAATTCATGTAGCTCCACCAATCACCACAGTCGACTGCGCAGACAAGTGGGTGCATGTGTGTCTGACTTGCACAGCAACAGATACGCGAGCCTTCTGGTTGAGACGTTATTTCAGAATGAACAGTGACTTTCTAAAAGCTGGCTCCACGGAGCTCAAGTTTGTCCTTGTGCA